GTGTGCACAGGGGCTGCAGGCCCCCAGGAGCTGACGGCAAAGTGCCGTGTGCACAGGTGCTGCAGGCCCCCAGGAGCTGACAGTAGGGTGCCATATACACAGGAGCTTCAGACACCCAGAAGCTGACAATAGGGCGCTGTGTGCACACAGCTGCTGTAGGGCTTCCAGTGCTGACAATGTGGTGCCGTGTGCATAGGTGCTGTAGGACCCCAGGTGCTGCCAGTAGGTGCAGTAGGACCCCTGGGTGCTGACAGTAAGTTCTGTAGGACCCTTGGGTGCTGACGGTGGGTGCCTCTGTTGCAGAGTGCCTCGGGCACGGGCTTGGCCTTCATCGTCTTCACAGAGGCCATCCTCCACATGCCTGGGGCGCCCGGCTGGTCTGTGCTATTCTTTGGCATGCTGTTCTCCTTGGGCCTGTCCACCATGTTCGGGAATATGGAGGGAGTCATCACACCGCTGCTAGATCTTGGGGTCCTGCCCAGATCGGTCCCCAAGGAGATTCTGACTGGTGAGTGGATGGGGGTGCTGCCTCGAGACCGTGCCCTATCTGCCCTGCTGCCAGCACCTTCCAAGCCCTTCAAGCAGAGGTGGGCAGAGGACCACAGAAGAACTGAGGGGAACGACCAGGGGGAGAAGTCACAGGATGGCCAGGCCTGGCCCGTCCCTCCTGCTCAGCTGTGGGGAGGGTGCCCGTACCCCCCGCCCCCCGCCTGGCACAACCCCGAGCCCCCTTGTTTTTCTGCTTCCCGCAGGACTGGCCTGCCTGGTGTGCTTCCTCGTGGCGCTCTGCTTCACTCTGCAATCGGGCAGCTACTGGCTGGAGATCTTCGACAACTACGCGGCCTCCCTGAACTTGCTCATCTTTGCCTTCTGCGAGGTGGTCGGGGTCGTGTACGTGTACGGGCTGCAGCGGTGAGTGCCGTGTGGCAGGAGATGCCATGCGCCAAGCATCGAGAATCAGCCAACGTGACACGTGCTTTGTCCTTGTTGTTAGTGTCGTCAAGCCAAGTTCTGATCCCTGTCCTATCCTGTGCCATCCTCATCATCTCTGACACACTTGAGCCCAAAGCTGCACTCACTGTGTCAGGTCACATCATTGAAGGTCTTCCTCTCTTTTACTGGGCCTCCTCCTTTCCAAGTATGACGTCCCTCTCCAGGAAATAGCCTCTCCTAGCAACATGCTCACCACTGGGTCAATTAGCAGCGTCATGATAGGTGGAGAAGAGATTGAGGCTGTTAAAGCTTGCTGGGCTCCACAATCAATACTCTAGGCACCAGCAGTCAGGAAATCAAAAGACATATTTGCATTAGGTAAATCTACTGTCAGGGACCTCTCCGGAGTACTGAGAAGCAACGATGTCAGTCTAGAGACTAAGGTGTGCCTGATCCAGGCTGTGGTCTTCACAATTACTTGCTTTGCCTCAATGGACAATGACTAAGTATGACGGAAGAATCAATGCCTTTGACTTGTGGTGCTGAAGAGGAGTCTTGAACATATCATGACCACCAAGAAAGCAAATAGGTCTGTTTTGGAGAGGGTGAAACCAAGTTTCTCCTTGGAGGCTAGGATTTTGAAGCACTGCCTCACTTAATTTGGGCATGTGGCCAGGAGAGACCAGTCCTTGGAGAAAGACATCATGCTCGGAAGGGTGGAGGGACAGCACAGGAGAGGAAGATCCTGGATGAGATGGATTGATACAGTAGCCAGGGCAATGGGGGTAGGTGTACTGGAGTCAGTGAGACTGGCTTAGGACAGGGCAGGCTTCAGAGCTGCTGTACATGGAGTCGCTATGAGTCACAGGTGACTCAACAGCACATAACAACAACAACAGCAACAAGCTCAAAGTAAGATGAAGCTTCACTATCCTTGCCTCCAGGGAGCACTCAAGCTGCACTTTCTCCAACACATACCTGTTTGTTCTTTACAGAGTCCATGGGATGTTCAGTACTCTTCTCCATCATGTTTTAACCACACACTTTAGAGTGGCACAGTTCAAGCCACGACACACTATCCATTGTTGTTATGTGCCGTCAAGTCAACTACGACTCAACAACTCTAGGAACAACAGAAGAATCCTGTCTGATCCTGCGCCATCCTCATCATCTCCAACACATTTGACCCCTTGACTGCAGTCACCATGTCAGTCCATCCGTCATGGGTCTTCCTGTCTTGCATTCATGTCCGTTGTTGTGGTTGTTGTTGTTAGGTGCCATTGAGTCGTAGACAACTCGTAGCAACCCTATGAACGAAAGACCTGAGCACTGTTCATAGAGTTTCCAGAGACAAGCCATTTCAGAAATGGATGCTACTCCTGCTTCCAAGTTTGTTTTAATTGGGGAGCTCCACCAAACACTGTCCACCATGGGTAACCATTATTACATTTGGCATATCAGTGTCACAGTGTTTAGCATCACAGCAAACATGAGTTACCTCTGTACAGCAATGCACAGACCAGTGCTATACCAAATTCATGTCCTCACCACGTGCAAAGCACATTGAGCTCATCATATGGGCCCCAAAGTGTCACATCGACTGCAGGTCCATATTCCGTCCTAGCGCACAGTTCCTTCCCTTCACCTGGGTCTGGTGCTCCGATGGCATGATTTGCCCTAAGTTGTGCTGCGAACCCAAAGGCAGTGCCTCGCGGGCACCTCCAATCGACCAGGACTCCAAACGGAGAAAGATGAGCAGTCTCCCTCCACAGGATGTACAGTCTCCAAAAAGTGGGTGGAGGGTCAGCTGTGAGTCATTTCCAACTGGACAGCACAGAACAGTCAAGCCACCTGGGCAAGGACCCCATCCTCAGAGTCTGGTGTTGGCCAGGGTGGGCTGTGTCCCCAGGCCTCCTGGGGGAGCATCTCTGTCCCCTTGGCTGTGGACAGCCTCACTCATCCTCTTAGTCCACCTGAGCCGTGAGCCCACCCTCAGGGCCTGGGGGTAGAGCAGAAGGTGGGTGAAGTGCAAGGAGAGAGGGGCAGCAATGGAGGGTTTCCATGTTTGTGGGTCCCAACCAAGGTGGAGCAAGTGAGAACAGAAGGGTGTGGAGAAGGCAAACTGACCTTCAGCAGAGTAGGGGGAGCAGTGGAACAGACTATCAAGGGGTGTGAGTGGGTGAGACCGCCAACAGGGTGTGGGGTAGTTAGCAGGATGGAGATGAGGACAGCTGAACAGGCATCAACAGGACAGGTACAGAGTGAGACAGACCACTGTCATGTTGCAGACTGACCAAGGATAAAGTAATAATGAGACAGACAACCAAGAATGAGATAAGAGAGAGTAAAGACAGGGGGCCAGCAGTCCTGATGACTGAAGAAACCATGATGAACCTCTCTGTCTATTTACTGAGAATCATCAGGAATGTAAACAAAGGATAATCACATGGGAGTAGAAAACAAAAACAAAGGTCATGGAAGTCTTTTGCAGATAAAGCTGAGTTCTTCTCTAGTGTTTACCTTATGCTAATCTCTGGAGGGAGGGATTCAGTAACTACAAACTAAGAACAATGTTGACTCTTAAGGAATGCTTTAGTGACTCAGGGTGAACTCCAGCTTGTATTACATCTCCCTTATATCCTGATATAGCATTTGGTTTATTATTAATATTACGTTTCATATTCAGCTTCCACACTGTCAGATGAAGTAGGGGGCATGGGATAGACCATGGGGTGAGACAGACCATCTGACAGGTGAAATAGGAGAGTGGGATGGCCCACAGGGCTAGGGTGAGGAGGTAGGGAGGTAAGGTAGGGGTGGGTTGGACCATCAGCAGGATTGAGGAGGGAGGACAGACCATCAACAGGGTTGGGGGGTTGGCTAGACCATCAGCAGAGGAAAGTAGGAATGAGTTACACCATCAACAAGGTAAGGCTGGAGGTGGTCCAAACTGCCAGCAGGGGCAGGCAGGGGTGAGTCAGACCACCAGGAGTGCAGGGTGAAAAGCCTGACAAGTGGTCTCTCTGGTGCAGGTTCTGCGACGACATTGAGTGGATGATTGGGAGGCGGCCAGGCCTCTACTGGCAGGTGACGTGGAAGGTCATCAGTCCCCTGCTGCTGCTGGCCGTCCTGGTGGCCTACATTGTTCTCCTGACCCAGAAGCCACCAAGCTACAAGGCCTGGAACCCCCAATATGTATGTCCTCCCGCCGGGAGCACTCGTACTCCAGCTTTGGTCTGAATCTATCACAGGCTGTCCAGGTCCAGATGACCTGCCCACACTGTGGGTGATGTGGCCTGCTCACCTCTGTCCACAAACGAGGGGTTAAGGATGCAAAGAGGACACCTCTGCTGGGTTCCAGGAGCTAACATCCCTGGGCCATCAAGGCGAACACGGCAGGAGTCCGGGGGTCCTCAGACCAGGGCCTCAATACCCAGTCAGAGCATAAAGGGCCAGCGTGGTTAGACTCAGGTGGCCTGAGAGCACTCCTGACCATGAATGTATAGGCTGGTCTCACACTGGTCAGTGTGCTCAGGGGCCCGTAGCTCCCAGTGTCCACTCCTGGTTCAGGTGAGGGGGACTGTGAACACAGAGACCTGGTCTCACACTGGCCACTGTGGTCAGGAGCCGGCAGCCCCCAGTGTCCACTCCTGGTTCAGGTGAGGGGGACTAGACCGTGAATGCACAAGCCTGGTCTCACACTGGCCAGTGTGGTCAGGGTCCAGCAGCCCTCAGTGTCCACTCCTGGTTCAGGGGAGGGGGACCGTGAATACACAGACCTGGTCTCACACTGGTCAGTGTGGTCAAGGGCCAGCAACCCCCAGTATCCACTCCTGGTTCAGGTGAGGGGGACCAGACCGTGAATGCACAGGCCTGGTCTCACACTGGCCAGTGTGGTCAGGAGCCGGCCGTCCCTAGCATCTACTCCTGGTTCAGGTGTGTTGCAGAGGGTGTCACATAACCATCATTAACCATGCAGTCCAGCTGACAGGTGTGTCACGCACGACTCTCCCTCTCATCTCACCCTGATGCATACATACCCACAGCGCTGCTCTGTGTGGCCTTGGCCCGTGGGCCCTGCTTCCCCCTGAGTCCTCACAGAAGAGATGGTCAACACACAGTACACGGCCGCCCCTCCCCTCAAGCACAGGATTCTAGAGAAGAATGATCCCCAGTAGAACACACAGTAAGCAAGGCTGACAGTTCATACGGCCGTGTGCATTACCCCGTTAGTGTCATGGTTTACGTCTGCATGTCGGCCTTAAGAAGTGTCTGACGCTGGGGAGGGGAGGAGGTACCCACACTCTACAGACCACACAGGGCCCAGGGAAGTCCAACTGAGGCAGTTCCAATGACCTGGAAAACTGAGGTGATCAGACAGCTCTTTCCCAAACTCAGCATCCCCTGAGTACATCCTACAAAGCCCTGTCCCCATAGGAGGCTCTGTCCAGGTCCCAGAACTTTGCACAGCCAAGTGACCACTTCCCCAGCTGTCCATTTTTCCCTTTGTCATTCAATTTGGAAGGGAGCTCTGGCAGCCTAGAGGTAAAGAACTGTGCTGCCAGTCCCAAGGTATGTGGTTCAAATATACCAGCTGCTTTGTGAAAGAAAGATGGGTAATCTCCTCCCAGATGATACACTGCTTCTGAAAACCCGGTGGAGGGTCTGTTTCAACTCAAGGGTACATAACAACATTCAATTAGGAGTGAAGTCTTGCTCCTGTGCTGTCAGGGAGAGGAGGGGCAAGCCCGCCCCATAATCAGTGAACTCAGGGGAGCGGGGCTCGTTTCCTTGGGATGCTGCCCTGTCCCCAGGATGTGGGGCCTCTGGCACCAGCTGACCCGCGGTCTCACGTCCACAGGAGCAGTTCCCCTCCAGACAGGAGAAGCTCTACCCTGGCTGGGTGCGGGTCATCTGCATGCTGATGTCCTTCCTGCCCTCCCTGCTGCTCCCGGCTGTCGCACTGGTCCAGCTGATCATCCGGCGACGCAGAAAGTGGCAGGACATGTGCCCACAGCTGCAGGACAGTCATACATGCTGAGAGGTGGGGCCCAGCCTGTGTGCCACTCACAGAGCCCTGCACCACACCACACACCGCAGGAACCTGGGACCACAGCCCACACCCCACATCGCAAAGGACCTGGAAACACATCCCACACCACTGAGGATCTGAGACCACACCCACATGCAGGTGAAGACCTGGGACCACACTCCACACTTAAGAGGACCTTCTGGGACCGCACCCCACACAGGCAGGGACCTGTGGCCCCACCGCACCGCCCCCCCCCCCCGCCACTGCTGAGGACCTGGGACCACAACCCACGCCCCACACCACACACAGGTGAAGATCTGGGACCACACCCCACACCACATACAGGTGAAGACCTGGGACCAC